TATTTTATACTACTTTTGTTTATCTGGGTTTTGAGGTTGGTCATGCTTCCCTTTTTAATTTTTTTCTAGTGACTTGGTTTTCTCCTCATAGATGGTTTATTTTATAATTTTTGTTTTATTTCTTTTTATATACTCTTTTATTTATTTGTAATGGAAAAGAAGGCCTTATACATCTCGTACATCGTTAGGGGTATCTTTGGATGACAATGAACCTTATCAGAAGTATAGACGATTTTTTCTTAAAGTCGTGTAATCTTTATAATATTATTTTGTTAGTTGTTTGGTACATACTTTATATTATTATTATTTAATTTTGTTAAACAAATTTCAGTTATTTTATTTATTTCTAACTAAAAACATTTATTCTCAACAAATTACTTTGAATGAAGTAAAAATAACATGCTGAAAAGATAAAGTTGTAAATTAAAACACCTAAGTTTACTTGAGATAATTTTATAAGAGACGTTGTCATTTATTATCATAAGTAATATTATTGAAACTGTAAATTACCTATAATAACAATTACATCCAACAAACCCTAAGGGTAAAATAATGAAGGCCAATTTAGATGCACTTATTGTTTTCTTTTTAATTACAATATAAATAAAAATTTTCTCTCAGAACGGATTTTACGTGTTCTTTTGGTAATCATTCGCAACATATATCAGATTTGATATCACATTTCAATGGTTATTGGTTTTGTATATGGGAATAAATTTTCTGGTTAAGGATCCTATCTAATTTGATAATCTATTTTCATAGCATTTGTTTAAAATGCAGGGGTAGAGTTGATCCGTGATATCCTGTTGGCCACCGTGCCACTATTAAAACGGATTAGTTGAATATTGGTTCAACATTATGATATACTTAAGAGAAAATTATGTACGGACACTTTTTTGGGGCTGTCGATTACCATTCGGTATCTCACTTTTCTAAAATTATCAGCACATCCCCCCGCCCGGGGCCTGTTTTTGCCCCTTAAGTTTACCCCCTAAGTTTGCCCCCTGTCCGGCAATGCAAACACCGGACATGGGTTTTTTATGCACTCATCAGAGCTATCCAGTGTTTGCATTGCCAGATGAGGGGGTTCCTTTTTAAGTATTGTTCTTTGTTGTCCAGTGTTCGTTTCTGAAGGTAGAAAGCCCTACCGAACCCTTCTTCACCTCATTTCTTTGCAACTTCCACATAAAGCCACACCTTTGAGAAGAAAAGTCCCTCGCCTCTCTGAGAAGAAAATCTATCGTGCTGAAATCTACGTGAATTACTTTCCTTTTGTGTAATAGTTGTGTATTAATTTGTGAAATTTTTTTATTAATGGCAGATTGGGGTATTGAGGCTCAAAAACTTAACCTTTAGATCATAAAACTACTTTAATGATAAAATATGAATACATTTTGTTAGGGCTTTGCTAGTGGAATGAATTAGGAGTATTTTGGAATAAATTTGAAGATTATTTTTTGAGATTTCAAGTAGAACAAGAAAGGAAGGCGGATTGGAGGGTTTTGTGCTTGTTTTACCATTTTTTTGACATGTGAAATATCAATCTAATAGTTGGCTTATGTTTTTTGTTCTTGTTTTCAATGATAAGATTAAGTTTTAATTTAAGAATGAGATGAACTCATGAAATTTGACCAATGCCCATAGCCTATCTTCTTATTTGCATTCTTACTATAATTGACGTGCATACCGGGATAATTGTATGAGTTGATGATTAATTGGAAATTTATGGATTACAAAAAAGCAATATCTTGCACATAGTATTGAACATGTTGATTGTTTTTCTTATCATTATTTTTCTGAATGAATCTTTGACATAAAGTAAGAAATCTCTATCAATTATGTGGACCTTATTGATGTTATACTCCTCACCAGATTGATTCATGGCCACTGGTGGAGTGAGGTTATTGGTTCTCCATAGTGGTTATTTTGAGCATAACCAGAACGGTAGACGAGCAAGTTACAAAGAAAATAACTTAAAAGCCATACTTTATAATGGGGGCCACTCACTACAACAACTAAAGGCTCATATGGGGTCTATATTGAGTTCTGACCCAAACAATTTAAAAATTATGTATCAAGAAAAGGACCAGGAAATGAATTTAATGGAATTAATAGATGATGAGGATGTAATATGTATGTAGATGGTGGCCTCCAATGTATACGTAGGTGTCGCAAACTAAACATCGCAACCAAATCCAGTAGAGCATCAGCCTTTTTTTCATGCATCTGCTCCATCAGCAAGAGATAGGTATGTGTGACAAAAAACCTTCAATTATGCATCATATTATCGTAACTGTCCTAGTACTTATTGAATGAATTCAAATTATATTATAACTACATGTGGATCGATACCTACTAAATGCTCAAAATGTTTTCTCACAGCTTCCCTACTGTAAAAGTGAATGTCCCTAGAATGAGTAACATAGCTGCAGAGCTGGAGTCTGAATCCGAGGACAAGCCATAAATGGAGCATGATGTGTACGACATGGCACCTTTAGAGACCCCGTTCAGATCAACACATCCAAGAGTGGACCTAATTGTGGGACAGAATTTTGATACAAATATGGAGTTACACAATCACTTCGTTGATTATGTGAAATATCATAACTTTGTGATTAAATTGAAATGATCAAGAAAAAGTGAGGACATACTATAAAAGAGCACTGGATTGCACTTGGCGCATGCAGTACTCTAAAGTCGGAACAACAAAATCCTTCAAGGTAAGAGAATTTATAAATGAGAACACTTGCAAAGGACCACTGGGCAGGGCACATCAGCCATTGACAGGAAGCCAATGGGTTGCAAAAAGATTAAAGCTCGACTAAAAGACCAGATGACCCTCAGACCAAAAGATACTACAAATGATGTTCAACGGGATCACACAATCACATTATCATATATCCAAACTTGTCATGACAAACGAGTTGCAAGGGCTAGGCTCAAAAGTTCAATCATATACTGAACTACCTCTCTATTTTGAGAAATTGAATATCTCTAACTTTGGAACTATATCCTTCATACAAACTAATGAGCACTATAGATTTGAGCATCTTTTTCTTTGCTTTCGTCCATGGTTGAATGGATTTCTGTATGGTTATAGGACACTATTAGGGTTAGATGGGATGTTCTTGAAGGGAACATATATGGGGATCCTATTGACCGCAATAGCTGTAGATGCTAATCATGGTACGTTTCCTGTTGCATTTTCATGGTAGATAATGAGCACACTAAAAGTTGGACATGGCTCCTAGAGACTTTGAATGGGGTGTTTCATCATCAGGTAGACATAGTTTCTCGATTGATAACTGTATCAGACCGTCAGAAGGGATTGCAAGCTGCAATTCAGTGTGTATTCTTGGGATTGTATTCAGCGCATTGCATGTGCCATATTGTAGATTGTTGAAAATTTTAAGAGAAAATGGAAGAACATAATGTTCATAACGAAGTTTTGGAATGCCACACATGAATTATCTATTGAAGGGTTCGAGGAAGAGATGTTGAAAATTAAAGAGACAGATGAAGGGGCTTACAAATGGATAATTAGACAGGGAAAATAACACTCAGCGAATGATTCTTTCGAGGGCAAGAAGTATGATCATCTTACATCTAAGATATGTGAGCAGTTTAACAGTTAAAACTTTAGAGGAACATGACAAGCCTCTCATCGCGTTGTGTGAAGGCATAAGAATGAAGTTAGTGAAGAAATTGGTTGGACATCGACAAGAAACTGAAATTTGGAATGGTATGCTAGTGCCTAAGGTACAAAAAGTAATAGATGAACTAATTGAGAAGTCAAGGTTCATGCATGCTATTATATGGGTCGCAGGTAAAAAATATGAGATCCATGATGAGATGGCACACGCTGAAGATCTAAATTCTCATAGTTGCACTTGTAGAGTCTAGAGGAACATAAGGTTGCCATGTACCCATGGAATTATAGCTATGGATGTCTATCACCTTCAAATAATAGACTTTTGAGAGTCGTGTTTCATTGTTCAAGCATACAGGACCACCTTTGCAATTGAATTCCCTTATGTACTAGACTCAGTGCCTTTGACTGGAGCTTTGAACAGAACTGTATATTCCCTAATTAGGAAGCGACATCTAGGCAAGCCGAAGAAGCAGGACAGAAGCCAAAACACCATGGGATATGCCTGCAAACCTTGTGGTGAGGTAGGCCACAACATGAGAACCTGTAGAGAACCAATCAATACTCCACTGCCTCCAACATTCCGCAGAGCAAGTGCTTTTGGATCATCTGTCCGGCCTTCACTATTCTAATGAGCTTGTTTATCAAATTTTTACTATTTAAAGTGCTATATGTGGTCTACAAAAATACTTTTGTATTTGGATGGTGTTGCTTGATTTGAGAAAGAAACTCACATATTTGAATACTTTGATGATATATTTTGGCACTTCATTAGAATGTATTTTAATGTTGTTGGGTTGTTTGGCTTAAGATCTTATTGGATGGGATGTAAAATTTCATGTAAATTTGATGCAATTTTGCGATGTTGGATTCATGCAGCATTCACAGTTTCATGTAAATTGTGAATCCAGAGTGCTGGAATATAGTCATGCGTATGTGTGCATGATGTAATTTGTGAGTGAATAAACTCACTGCTAGTATAAATGATTGGATGTAAGATCGATGTAAAATTATATGTTTCCAGCTTAATGAATCATGTAAAAAAGCATTGCCAGAATGCATATTAGAATTTTGTCCAGTAGATCAAGTGCCGGACAGCTCTAAATGCTTTACATCAGTGAGTCTATTCACTCACAGATTACATCATTAACCTGGAAACCGATATGTAAATATTAAAATTACATCAATTTTTTATATCCTTCATTAACTTGGAAACATATTTATCAGTGAGTCTTTTCACTCACAGGCTCAATAATTCATTAACCTGGGAAAACATGTGTAAACATCAAAATTATATCACTCATTAACCTAAATCTAATCAAAACTGAAACTGACTGAAACTCCAAGAAGCCAAAATTTTGATTCATATTTATAAATTTACATCGACTCTCCACCATCAAAAGTTTAGAAAATTACATCGAAAAAATCAACATCCTCTTCTAGGGGGAAGGCTTTTTCTCTTCTTCTAGACCTCAGGGGCTGGTGCACTGGGACTTACTCTCATTAGTCCTAATCTCATGAGACTGTGCAAATCGTCTTCTTGTAGCTCTTTCGCGGTGTATCTGGAGCTGCGGCTCAACAATTAATCAATGCTCTTCTTCTGAGTCATCACTGGACTCCTCCTCATTCACCTCCCATTCTTCTCCAACCAACTCACCTTTATACAAGATCACATCTTGCCTGAGCTCCTTTAAATATCAATCTTTCATCTTGACATCTTGAGCTGCCAATGCATTGTTAATAATTTTACTTATTTATAATAGAAAAATATATATGAAACTTACAAATTAATGCATCCAACACTAAAAATAGAGAATAATTAGCAAAACAAAATGAGTTTACTTGAAGGAGTGTCACACACCCAGCAAGGTGACAAACTAGTGCCGACATATCATCACATAATAAATCTTTGTTCCCCTTCTTTACTTTAACAGTTACGAACTTCTTTACAAGTGTATTTACCAAGCCAGCAGTAGCAAATGTCCATATATGGTCATCTTTCATGTACAACCGTTCTCCATCCCCTGCTGTACCAATTTCACCTTTGTGTGCCATAGGCTCTGAAATTCATGTCATGATGTGTTGGTAACATGCATACTAAACTAAATGACATAAACACTTATTTGCAAGATAAAACTTCATTAAAACTCACTTTGTGATTGACATAAACACTTACTTCCATCGTTTTAACAACAATATCATTCCTTCACAACCTACTAAATGTAAAATATCTACAAAAGTACACAATATCGCCCAAGAGAATAAAATATCTGCATAAGTAACAAAACTACGCATTTGCATATGTTCAAAACCAGGGCAATTGAAGTCAGCGAGTGATAAATAATGAACATAATAACCAGAGTTTTAACATAAAAAAAATATGGATCTAAACAAGCTGGTCATAGTCTCATTACCATGTCGACTGATAGAAAACAAGATTTCAAGTTAAAATGGAAAGCAGAACAGAGATTCAACTGAATCATAGGCTAGTCAATGAAGTTCCATGCCTCTATTTCAGTCAATTAAGCAAAATGCCCAAGCTCCAAAGTTCACAAGTCATGTTCTAAGCCCAAAAAATTTAGGTCCTACATCTATTTCTCACAATTAAGAAACCTAGAGAGTAGAGTTTTAACATAAAAAATAACAAATTTCAAAATTCATATGTCATATCACTATTTGCAATTTTGAATATAATAACTGAAGTTTTAACATTAAAAAATAAAATAAATAAATAAATCTAGATCTTACCATGTCGGTTGATAGAAAACAAATTTTCAAGTTAAAATGGAAATTGAATAGAGGTTCAACTGAATCATAGGCCAGTCAATTAAGCTCCATGCCTCTATTTCTGTCAATTAAGTAAAATGCGGAAGCTCCAAAGTTCATAAGTCATGTTCCAGCCCCAAAAAATTCAGGTCCTACCTCTACTTCAAACAATTAAGAAACCTAGAAAGCAATTGTTGCCAATGTTCGAAAGACAAAAAAGAAAACAAAGGGTTCCTGAACTCCAACAAATATTTTGAAGGGTAACTTTGTTTCCCAAAATGTAAAAAGAACCCCATGTCCAATTTCATATCCAAGCTTCAAAACAGTAACTACAAACGGTTGGGTATTGCTTTTGATTGAAATTCTCACATACATCACTGCTCAACATCAACAATACTAATAGAAAAACAAGAGCAACTACAGTATTAATACATTGTTGTTAATTGTTCTAATTAACGACATTATATTCATACAAATCGAAGGTTCCTAAAATACCATCCCTATGACAAAGTCGTACATCAGTGAATCATCAACATGGTAACCTAACCACATTTCACAGATCCATTGAACCTTAAGGATAGATGAACTCATCATGTTTGGGAAAATAATAGAATCGCAAAACGGGAGCCCACCACTATCGAAGTTTACAATACTTCTATCAAAAATATATTCAACCAACGATAAGAGCTTGGAAATCATACATTCAAGGCATTCCCAATCCTCCTTTTTACTTATCAATATAATGCATTCATCTCTCAATTACATAGCATATTCAACAAGAACTCATAGTATCCATTTTTTATCAAAATCAATAGGAAAAATAAACATTCATTTGTTAAATAATAATCCTAATCTAACATTTATACATTTTGGGGTTGTTCTATCCCCCAAACCCTAATCCGCCAAATCTCATTTTTCCCCAAAATAAAACAAGTATCTTAAACATACATCATTAGCGGTTGCGGCTTGAGAAGCCTACTCCAGAGAGCGAGAGGGATGGACTCGAAGGTCGTAGAGAGATATTGAGGAAAGAGAGAACGAGAGCAGCGAAATTTATATCTGAAAGGTCTAGCAAGGTGTTAAAAACCCCAAACAGCAGTCCGGTATTTTGAAAACTGGACAACAACCACAACTTACTTAACAAAGACTCAAGTTGTTCAGCAATGAGAGTGACAGACATCATTTGTGACTTAGAGAAAAAAAAAAGTGCTCAGTGTATTTGTTTGCATCTAAAAGTGTCTGTACGTAATTGTCTTTATACTTAACACCAAAATATTACAAATAATAATAATAATAAATAAATAAATAAATAAATAAAAAACAACTTCATAATACTACTGTATTAAAAAACTTGCCAATTAATTCTCTCCACCTTCACGATCATGGGTAGAACCAAAAAAAAAAAAGATTTTAAAATCCAAGGGCTAATTTAGATACCCAGAAATGTCCCTCCATGGAGATTGCGTATCTCCACTATTTGTATCACAAAATAAGAAAACCGCTCTTCCACCAAAATAGCGGAATTGTGGTATCCATGAAATGGTTTTCATATGGACCTGAAAGCCCGTTTTTAAATCAAGGTTATCAGGAACTGATGGCCAAACTTGTGAGGTCACCGGTCCTGTTGGACCAGTTACGTAATTTATAAATTATAAAAATTAGAATAAGCCACTTACAAAGAAGAGATAGAAAAATCCATAATAATATTGGAAATCGAGAAAAACTTAAGGAAAAATACTAGGAACAAAAAATAACATCTATCAATTATAATGTTTTTCATAATCCACAATTTATTGAAATTAAAGTGTTAAAAATAAATAAATATAAAAACAAAAATAACCTAGCATTTGTTTTTTAAAAAATACTTATAAAGGCTTTGATAATAACTATAAAAACATAAATAACCTAGCATTTGTTTTTTAAACATTACATATAAAGGCTTTGATTATAAATATAAAAACAAAAATAACCTAGCATTTGTTTTTAAAAAAATATATATAAAGGCTTTCAAAAAGGAAACAATAGGACAATGAACTTAGATAAAACAAACATGAACAAAGGAAATAACATATGGAAAAAGTTTATATAAGGTTGCAACCTTAAAATGTACAATTGCAAATGCACCTCAGAAATCCATAAGAAAAGGTTGTTTTAATGATGAAAAACCTCTAATTAACTATCTCGACAACAAGATGCATGAATAAGAAGAAAAAAAAAAGATTTTGAATCCTAGAAAAAGTGCATCTTGCAACACATTATCGACACTATCCATTTTCAAGATTTTTATATGTTTGTAGATCTACTTGATTTTGACCATTTTTAAAGTTTAAATTCTATAATTAGATATGAAAATAGATTTTAAGATAATCCTAAGAATTTTTTACACCGAAATTATATGTTATGATAAAATTTGGAGGTGCTCCTTAATTGGATTGTTTAAGGTTGCAACCTTATAAAAACCACACCCATAACATATTTCATTGATTTTATATCTATAAAAAAATTTGGTACATAACAAAAACCCTAGAAAATCAGAACTTTTTTCCAATTTTTAAATGCAAAACAAAAAAGGCAAGAAAGTAGTTCATCTTGCAACAATTTTTTCAAAAGGGCCCTTAAAGTAGTTCATCTTGTAACAATTTTTTTCGGACCTTAAATTTCAACTATTCATATATCAGCAAGATCTCCACCATGTTTGGCACTTCAAACTCCACAATTTGGAGCTAGAAATGAATTCTCAGGTAATCCAAAAGGATTTCAGGTGCAGAGGCACGCTCTTCCCGGGGTTTTGAGGTCTAGTTTACCAAATTTATTGTAAAGTCACGGCCTTTCTAAAACCTCATCCATTCAATTCTATAGCTTGCGACTTTCAATCGAATGTTATTCATGGAAAGAAAGAACTCGGACAACACGGACTCGATTAGTCGACCAACATAGGATTTTCTGAATTTTTAGATTCCATCTTGTACAATTTTTTAATTAAAAATATTAAAAGACCAACTAAATGGAAGATAGTTTTGCACCTAATATAAAAGGATGAAGTTTCTAGAAGACCTAGGCTCTATGAAAATAAAATAAAGCCTCACCTTAAATCCTTGTTTGGAAAGCACTTTTGGCAACGGATATTTCCATGGTGGCTCAAAAATCAATTTTGTACATTAATAGTAAAATTTGAAACTAAAAAATGTACAGTTCTTGTGGTTCCCTGAACACTTATTTTTAGTGCTAAATGAAGGGTCTAAATAATTTGTTACAATATAAACTATTTTTAGAGCTTGAAATTTTATTTTTTGTTTTACAACCTAATGTTCAAGCCGAGATGATCCATGTATAGGTTTTCCAATACTTATAGAGTCGCGGCCCTATCATACCATTTTCATAATATATTTCAAAATTATACGTAAATGAGCCTCAGGGAGAGGGGATTTCCACTATTCA